TAAATGGTAAAGCTTTACACCATTTAATGATGTAATTGTTAAGAACGTCTATTTTCAGAGGATCATTTACAACATAGATAAACAAAGTATTTTTAATGTTTGTTAAATGGTGGACTAGAAAATATGTAAGACCTTAATCTTTACGAAAAATTGAATTAATTTTATGTTTTCGTTTGAAATTATAAAGAACAGCGTGATATTCCAAGAATTTATTGTTCACCTGTGTGATATTATTTCGTTCGACATTTTGTATGTTAAAAAGTTCAACAATAATGTAATATATTGGAGCCACCTAGTGGCGAAAAATAAATGCTTTTTGTGTGTGAACTGCTTGGTCATCGACAAAACGTACAATTTGCAATCCGTAAATATATTTTTTGTTATACATAATACAATAATTATCTCATTATTATTTACTACATTGTTGTCGAACCTGTTACCGCCATGTAATATACGGCCGCAATAAATAATAACAATAGCATCAATTTTGCTAACATAGTACTCCAAAATCATTCAAACTATACTTTAGATATTTGTTATTCCTAAACTGAATACAAAATAATAATTGTATGCATAAACTATATAAACTATATAAAAATTTACTTGCTGCATTAATAATTTAAATAGGTTGAAGATAATATATCAGGTGGAGTGAATCGTCAGCCAATGAGACCGAAGCAATTTCTGTTCTTATCCACAACTGCTTAGCAAGCTACGAAAAACGTGCGAAACTTCAGTATTACAGTACTTACTTTTTCTGTCACAACTGGGTGAAATCTACTATTTAATTATATCATTACGAATGAAAAAGATATACTAATAAATATTTATTCACGTCGAGTCGAACAGATGGCTCTTCGAAATGATTTTTAAACAAGATCTACAAATTTCAAAAAAAGTTCGCTTCGATATCCAAATCACCTATTGTATTTTTGCATTCAATTCATAATTATCATTCATTCATAGTTTCGCTCATGTATTAAAAATGTTTTTCTAATATTAAAATAATGTTAGCAGACTCCCTGAAAAAATATCGTTTTTAATTGTAATGATATAAAAAATATTTTACGTACAATTCGACAATACCAAAGTACGAATACACTGCGATGCATATTTTTGTTTCGAAATCACTTCTTTGCAATTTTCAACGAGTAATCGTCCGTTTTGCGAGTATATCTATTCGCAAGCATACTGCAGCTGATATGAAAATGCATTCAGAGATGTTTGCAACGAGGAGCAGAAATCTGTAAGTAAACATGTTTACCATCGCTTGAACTTGACCGTTATGAATTGTTTAAGGCATCTATCACTTGCTCGCTCGATTATTGCATTACTTAATGTTTAAAATTGTATCTATACATAGCAGTACATCATCTGAAACAAGTAACACAAGATTACAGCGTTCATTCGATAATTTTCCAGACCCATGGAAAAACAAACTGTAATTATTCTATCTTTCATCTGATAGTGTCGGTCGCGCATTAGCAATGACTTCGATTACTTTTCTTTACACGAAAGAGTCTATTAATATGTAAATCGGTCAGTGGAATTACTACATTGCGGTCTGTAATCTTCGGTTCGATGAAACAGTCTTACCATGAGTTCCATGAATTTCAGTTTTTCCATGAACACCTAATGGTACATCATGTAAAAGTAGATTGGTATATTCGCGTCATTAACGCATAATATTTACACTTCATTTATAATAAGG